CAACAACATAGAAGCTCTGGTGGCATAATGCCTGAGGCATTTGACTGCTAACCAGAAGGCTGGCAGTTCAAATCACTCCTCAGAAGGAAGATTGGGAAATCTATTTCCATAGGGATACCACCTCGGAAACCCAAGCAGGGGTTGCTTTGAGTTGGATCTGACTTGATGACCCTGAGTTTGGTTTTTAGTTTTAGTACCAGGTACTTAATCAGCATTCAACAAAAGTTAGCTATTGTTTCAACTGTTATTTCTAATAAAGGAAATCTTGGTTCTTCTTCTCCCCTTTTCAAGTCAACAGACATTTATTGGTAGGTACTTACTATGTGAGAGGAGCTTTGGTGGCACAGTGACTTAGCACTTGGCTACTAACCAAAAGGTGGGCAGTTCGAACCTACCAGCTGTTCCATGGGAGAAAGATATGGCAGTCTGCTTCTGTAAACATTTACAGCCTTGGAAACCCAAGGAGGCAGTTCTACTTTGTACTATAGGGGTGCTATGAGTCAAAATCAACACGATGGCAGTAATATTTTTTTGTCCTCCATGTAATCAATGGAAGCCCTGGTGGCAGAATGGTTAAGCACTCACCTGCTAACTTAAAGTTGATGATTCAAACCCACTAGCTATTACACTAGAGAAAGATGTGACATTCTGCTTCCATAAAGATTTACAGCCTTGGAAACCCTATGGGGCAGTTCTGTGCTACAGAGTTGTTATGAATCAGAACTGACTTGAAGGTATTGGGTTTGTTTTTTGTGATGTAACCAGTACTGTGGTGAGTGCCAGGAAAATAATCATGAATAAAGGAGACACTATTCACATCCTTCATGAGTTTCCCTTGACTCCCTTGTTAGGGATGTCCTAAACTAAACCCTACTCATTGAGTGATTTCTTAGATAGAACAAACATGCACAGTGACAGGACTGTTACCCTGTTGATGAAGAAATCCTCCTCCATTACTTGTTGTATTTGTTGTTGTTAAGTGCTGTCAAGTCCCTGGTCCTGCTCCAACTGCACAATTCTTGCTATATCTGAGTCCATCATTGCAGCCCCTGCATCCATTCATCTCATTGAGGGCCTTCCCCTATTTCACTGACCCTCTGCTTTACTAAACATGATTTCCTTTTCCAGGGAGTGGTCCCTTCTGACAACATGACCAAAATAGTACTGTTGAAGGATCTAGCTTTGTCATCTGCCTCCTACTCCTTTGCTTTCCCTGATTTCTAGTTTCATGTATCTTTTTGACCATTGTTACTTGCCATGAGAGTCATAACAGCATCTCCCTTTTCCTTATCCAAAATAGAACAAATTATCTCCCCAATTCCTACTCAAATTCTAGCCTTTTTTCCTGTATTTCCTGCCTTTGTTAATGTCATCATTTTACCCATCCATCTCAAATTCTTCATTTCACTCAGCAGCTCCTACTCTTTGATTCTACTTCCTGCATTCTCTTGGAACAGCTCTTCCCATCTTTCTAGTTCCTCTCATCTCTTTGGTATTTGTCACTTTTCCTGTGCTAAAGAATCTGTGATCTTTTTAAAGCATAAATTTGGTTATGATTTTTCTTAATGTATTTAATTCTTTCTATTCCATCCATAAAGAGCTCTGGTGACACAGCGGTTAAGGCATTTGGCTGCTAATCAGAAGGTCAGACGTTTGAACCTATCAGCTGCTCCATGGAGAAAGATGAGGCAGTTTGCTTCTGTAAAGATTTACAGTCTTGGAAACCATATGGGGTAGTTTTACTCTGTCCTATGGGGTCTCTATGAGTTGGAATCTACTCAATGGCAGTATGTTTCTTTTCTTTTTTTATTCCATCTATTCAGGATAAAAGTGCTAAGTTCCAAATTTACTGGAAGATATGCAAGACCTCTTGTGAACTGGCCTTTCTTTAACTTTCTAGTTTGTGCCTTTTACTTCTGTTGTACTAAGGCCTGGCCATGTCTTTTTCTTGCTATTACATTTTTTGCATTTATCATTCTCTGTCTCCCTCATGTTTACTTGCCTAGTAATTACTTGTCTTTCAAGATTCTGCTCAAGAGTGTCATTTTTGGAAAACTTACCCTGACTTTTCTCTTTACCCTCCCATGTTGCTTTTCTGGACTTCTGTCGGCTTGTGTATCACACTGCTTTCTTGTTGACTTACCTTATTTCCTAGTAATGTCTTCCTTGAAGATAAGGGCTATCTTATTTTAGTAGTCACAGTTTAGCACAAACTTGACACATAAGAAGTCACACAACTGCAAGTTTGTGGTTTTGTAACTTCTTACACTGAGCCTCCAGACAAAGAAAAATACTTGAGAGGTCATTTTAATCTTTATATGAGATTCATAAAGCAACCAAAGATCAGAAATCTTGGAATCTCTCACTTTTATGGGAAATGTACATCATGATGGAAGTAGCCTCTGGAGCCAGTATTCTATTCCATACTGAAAACAAGATACAGCAATTCAATTAGAAGTAAAATATAGAACTAGGTATTCAAATTCTGCCTATTTTTTTTATTCAGCTTAAAATTTTCTTACTAAAAGGCCAGAGTATACATCTCAGAACTAGGTTATCTTACTGTAAATACAGTCATAACTTTGAAGAAAAGTTGAATAAAGCATCAAAGTTAATTTTCACTTTTCGTAAATGACATTTTCCTTAAAATATGTTTAACCTTTAGGGTGGAGAGCCATTTTTTGGTCCCTTTTTCCCTGCAAATTACTCAATAAACTATAAAGGTGAATGGTGTATAATTGTGCACTAAGATTCCCCTTTGCATTAAATTTTTTTTAGGCATCATGAAGAAAATCAACCTTCACTGTGATTCAGGTTGTTGTCAACGTTTTTCTTTATTTTGCTGTGGGCAATGGAAAGGAGGCTTTAGTAAACTTGTTACCCAGTTCTTAGGGCAACTCCAAGCCGTGCTTTTTCAAACCACATAATGTTTGAAACTCAATGATCTCTATTGCCTCTCTAGAGACACTTCAAATAACGCTTAATGCTGTTTCCCTTTTGCTGTTGGATTTTGTAATTATGTGAGAGGTTGAAAATAACTTGTATATAGATACTGAAAATAACAAATTAGATGTGCTTGACTTTTTTTTTTTCTGTGTCTTTATGGATTCTGTCAAGATTCAGAAGTATTATCAGGTGAGCAATTCTTTAGCTTTGTTTCTGGGAGAATGCTAGTTGTTGGTAAAACTACTTCAGAAATCTTAATTGGTTTTGTTAGAGTGGCTATTCACAGGTTGGAGCAAAGGGCATAAAATAAAGGCTACTATTTTAGATGTGGAGTCCCTGGATAAGATAAGCAGTTATGCGTTATCTGAAAGGTTGGCTGTTTGGGTTTAACCAGAGGCACGTCAGAAGAAAGGCCTGGTGATTTACTTCTGAAAAACCAGCTGCTGAAAACCCTATGGAGCATACTCTGGCACACATGGGATTGCCAGTAGTTGGAATCAACTCAATGGCTACTGGTTTTTATTTTTTATTTTAGATGTATCCCTGACAGTACCCTCGCCAAAGGGACAGGCAGGCCACATCTTCTGACCTCCTCCAACCCCACAAGAAAAAGACAGAATCACCATCAGTAGCCCAATGCTTATTCCAGCCCTTTCACCAACACTGACACCAACTGTTCCTCCCGTAGCACTCACCACCTTTCTGCTGGGTTCGATAATTCACTGCTGTGGCCACACACAACTCACAGATTATGGGGTTTATTAGGGAAGCAACAGGCTACAATTCAAGTTCAGGAAAAATGCTCAGTCTCTCTCAGCCAGCAGTCTCTCAGCCACTCTCCCAGCAATTTGTTTCTCTCAGTTTCTCTCTCAGCAATGTGTATCTCTTTCTCAGCAGTGCATGTCTCTCAGGAGCATATTTCTGTCAGCAGTACGTCTTTCTCAGCCAGCAGTCAGAGAGACTTCTTCTGCCTCTAGGAGGCCTCCTTTTGAGCCTGGAAGAGTGACCAAACTAACCAATCATAACATCAGAATTCTAAGCACCTGAGAGAGAGAGAACTTCCCAGAATATTGCTTTGTGCCACTCTCAACAGAAATACCCCAGGTGGATAACTTTTACAATCAGGAGCTCCTCAGTTGCTCACAGCCAATTCCACCACATAGTTTGCAAAGACTTATGGCTAGAAAACCATACCAGGTAATTTACTACACTGCAACTCTTCAGTATACCCTTGTTTTCTTGTGATGACCACTCATCTTTATCATCAGTTTAATGAATTCTTTGACCCTTTGAAATAATTTGCTTAGAGTGTAAGATATCCTTTTTTTATATATAAACTCAAAAAATGTTTATAAAAGTAATTTATGTTTAAAAGACCAGGCTTACTGGTCTGATAGAGACTGGTGAAACCCCTGAGACTATTGCCTCTAGTCACCCTTCAGGCCTGGAATTGAACTCATGTGGCTTCTAGCCAAACAGTAGACAGACCTACAAGGTGAACAATTACACCAGATAGGTAGGTACACTGCTTAGAACAGTCAACTATGGGAGATCAGAAGGGCAGTATTTGCACAGGGAGATAGCTCAGAGGGCAGGAATACATAGGAAAGGACACAGGGAAAATGTAACCACATGGAGGATGTGGAAAGAGAGCTGTTACACTATGGGGCTTGCAATCAGTGTCATGAAACAAAATGTGTATGAACTGGTGAATGGAAAATGAATTTGTTCTGTAAACTTTCCCCCTAGTTACAATAAAATAAATAAATAATTTATGCATACCATGCAGTAGATATTGTCCAGAGTAAACAAAGGATGCATTTTGTACAAGGGAGAAATCCCTAATATTTCACACCCCCAACAGACTGTAGTCAGTTATAACAATTGGGATCTACCAAACTGTGAGTTCCTTAAGAGCAAGGCATCTTTTCATTGTTGTTAACACAAGAGTACAATGTTTATTGCTTATGTTCATTTGTTGGTTGAGTGAATGAATTGAAATATGCCTATAGGAATATATAGCTACTAATGCCATCTGTCATTTCTGTTTATAGGTATTACCATTTAAAGAAACCTTCTTACCAACAAATCTATGATAAAAAATATAAGTAACAGTGGAAACTATAACTGTTATTTCTCAAGTGACAAGCTTTTGATGTCGGAATGGCTCACCTAAGGCGACTGGTGAAATTGAATCTTAAAAGACATTACCATAAAAAGTTCTGGAAGCTTGGTGCAGTAATTTTTTTCTTTATAATATTTTTGATTTTAATGCAAAGAGAAGTAAGTGTTCAATATTCCCAAGAGGAATCAAAGATGGAAAGAAGCATGAAAAACAAAAACAAGATGTTTGATTTAATGCTAGAAGCTGTAAACAATATTAAAGATGTAATGCCAAAAATGCAGATAGGAGCACCTGTCAGGCAAAACATTGATACTGGTGAGAGACCCTGTTTGCAAGGGTATTATACAGCAGCAGAATTAAAACCTGTTCTTGACCGCCCACCTCAGGATTCTAATGCACCTGGTGCTTCTGGTAGAGCATTCCAGACAACCAATTTAAGTGCTGAAGAGCAGAAGGAAAAACAACGTGGGGAAGCAAAGCACTGTTTTAATGCTTTTGCAAGTGACAGGATTTCTTTACACCGAGATCTTGGACCAGACACTCGACCTCCTGAGTATGTTGAAGAATATTCATGGTGTACTGTTTATCACCAAAGTTGATTAGCTAAGGAAGTTGCTTATTCTTTAGCCACTCTGAGGGAGGGGGAAAAGATCACAAATGCTTTTCATTTAATCTGTTTTATTTATTTTTTTGCCTATTGCTGTTGGTGGTGGATACTCTTATCTATGCTTGGGAAGGCAGTGTAGATGTGGAAAGTCATTTGCTTAAAAATTAGAAAATCAAACTCTAAATTTGACCTTTACTTACCACAAGGAAATACTTTCTTCTTAAGTTCTTTCATTTTCTCATCTATTAAGTAGGAAATATTGGGCAGCTAACAACAACAACATGGGAAATGTAGGGATGGAGGAGTTGTTTCTGTTCATCTGTGTTCTGTGTTCTGTATAGCATGGAAAGGTTAGGGAACATGTCAAGATGTTGGAACTGTTAGACAGTATTTTATGGGTTTATGAACTAAGTCACAGACTTTATGGCTATTTTCAGTGCTATAATTGTATATCAGGATGCCTTGTGTTGTGCAAACTTTTGAGGGAGAATATTGTTTAAAATTGCTATTTCATCTATACCTCTTTCTCTAGAGTTTTGTTGATGTTTAACTGTTCATTGTCAATAGAATGGCCTCCCTTTAGCTAGTGAGAGGCCAACATTCATTTTTATTAAGTCACTTTTTTTTTGTCTTAAGTATATTGTATTTTAAGTATTTCTCCTCCCTTTCCACTGTGACAACTTTTTGTCCTTTGTTAAGCATTTTGTTATGTGTGAGGTAATGTTCAAATGGTTCTAGTTGGATTGAAATGGCTAAAATCTATCCCAGCACTTTCAAGCCATAGACTTTTTGATCGTGCACCATAGACAAAGTATAAGCAAACAATGCCTACATATTGGTTTTTTGGTTATAGCAGAACTACATTTGACAGCGAAATTGAAGAAAAGGACTTTTATAGACTTAACCCTATTGATTCACTTTGGTTTTTCTAGATTTGTGATCATGAATACCTGCTCCAATCATGTGAGGCTCTTATATCACAATTGCATAGGTTTATTTCCCAGTGTTAACCTGTATACCCAAGGTTAAGTTGCTCATTTCTTTTTTAAAAGAAAGTATGAAGAAAGAAATGAACATCTATAAAATATTCTAGCTGTCATAGCAGGGCACAGTATAGTTCCTTTTTATTTTAATATTTGAATGCAATATTGCACTTCATTGATTTTTAGAGAGGTCTTAACTGAACAGCAATCGACATCACCAATCAAGAAGCATGATTTTTATTCTTTTATATGAGAATCAGTCAGCTCAAGATAAGCTGCTTTTCTGATACAGCACAGAGAAGCTGCAATAATTTTCCATTATGTTAATTGTTAAGTAACTGTAAAACCACTAACCACATTAAGAACTTTTTTTTTGGGGGGGGATAGGCATAGAGAAGGTAGAACTGTGTAGAGGTGGTGAAGATTTAATAGTTTGTTACTTTGAATTTAACCTATATCAGCAAAGAACAAGTTGTCTGAAGAATGGCTGGTCTTTTTTGTACCCCTTAGAAATATAGATACAGTTTCTCCACAAGCCAGATGGTCATGTGACTGATCATTTCTATATGCCAAACTTTTCCAAAGATTTGGCTGGAAATGTGTAATCACTGTGGTGAATTATCTTAATGCACTATTTTAATGACATGAAAAAAATTTAAAGTATAGGTTGACTATGTTGTTTCCAAATAAATGGAATTTATCAGATCATTGGGACCTCACAGAAACTCAGTGGGCTGAGAACTGTGGTTACCTCTTGTCTGACAAGCCACCCATACATACCCCAGTAGCTTAATATGAAGATAATCTTTATAGAAGGAGATAGTTTTCTAAAAAAATGAATTCATGATTAATTTATAACTAATATTTCTAGCTAATAGATGACATCAACAATCAGTCCAGAACTACTTAGGATTTCTGCCTTTGCCCATCAATATTTGAGAAGGTGACAGAGGCTTAAAATGCTGAATATTTTTTCACCCAAAACACAATTAAAAAAAAAAAAAAAAGAGAGAAAGAGAGAAAAAAAAAAAAGATGTTCATAACAGAAAAAAAAATGCTGAGTATTTTGCATCTTGAGTAGACAAGAGCACAGGATTTAACTTGCTTACTGTTTTTTCATTCCATTATGATTTTCAGAAAGTTCATTTATGACTTTTAACATAGATGGTAGATCACTTACTTTAAATATTATTTTTTAAAAGGAAATTTAAAAATGCAAAGTCCAATCTAATTAAACAGTATATATTTAATTATTGGAGCAAAAAGTCTTTCTCACAACACATGGAAAATGGTAAGTACTTACTAAATTTTTGCTGAATGAGTCGAGATCATAAGATAATAGATTTTATGGTAAGCTAGTTTTTCCCCTTTTGGTTCAAATATAGATAAGGAAATAAATAAACTTGGAAAATATTATATACTTGAAAAAATAATTTAAAATATTTTCTAAAAAGATGAATATTCATTTATTAAAGTTAGACAGTATTTTGGTTACCTAGTGCCACTCTGACAAGAATATACCACAAATGGGATGGCTTTAACAAACAGAAGTTTATTCTCTAACACTTTGGGGGCTTTAAGTCCAAGTTCAAAGTGCCAGGTTCTAGGGGCTGGGTGAAAGTCCCTCGACCTTGGGCTTCAGCTCTGCCTTCTGCTCCCGGCCCACTGAAGCTAGAGGCTTTTCTTCGCTCAGACAGCTGAGTGCTGAGACTGACAAGTCCAAAGTTGACAAGTAAAAAGGCACAGTTCCAATGTTACCAAAACACATGGCAGGCCATTAATTCAATTGGAAGTCCATTGGAAGTCCATTGAAGGTCCCAAGGTTGGCAGAGCTTGGCAGAGCATGACAGGCTGCTGACAAATGACACGGCTACATGCAGAGTTCAAATGTGCAGTAAGCTAGAGACCATTCCCAAAGCTGCTTCTTATATCCAGGAAGCAGACTACATCCCCAAAGCAATTACTCAGCTGCTTGTGGTAGATCCCACCATTGAATTGATTGCCAGTCTCATCCTGGGGAGTAACTACCACCACTGGCCAGCCACTCAACCAGGTGCAGCCAAGTTGACATACAACTTTAACTATCACAGACAGTTTTTAAAATTGCAGATAATAAAAATGGACTTTTTTGGTTTCTAGTTTAACAACTACAAGTATTTGTCATTTTACATGTCATATTTGTCATTTTACATGTCTCACTTACAAGTAATTGTTATTATTTAAGGCATTAATTATATTTAATATATTGTTGAGACAGCTTGCAATAGCATGTTGTATAATCTTTGGCATGTTATAATCGCTATCAGTGGACATGATTGTTGGGTAAATAGTCTGCTTTAAAAACTTTTATTACAGTTATATAGCTTTGAGATCATCATTTCCAAAGTGATAAACATAAAGATGACAATTTTAGTCATAGCTGTTGTTGTTAGGTGCCATTGAGTCAGTTCCAACTCACAGCAACCCAAAGCAAAACAGAACAAAATATTTCCTGGTTGTGCACCCTCCTCACAATGGTTGCTGTGTTTGATCCCGTTGCAGCCACTGTGCCAATCCATCTTGTTAAGGGTCTTCCCCTTTATCGTTGACCCTCACTTTACCAAGCATGACATCCTTCTCCAGGAACTGGTCCCTTCTGACAGCATGACCAAAGTAGGAGAGACAAAGCCTGGCCATTCTTGCTTCAAAGGAGCATTCTGGTTGCTATTTCCTCCAAGACAGATTTGTTTGTTCTTCTGGCAGCCCATGGTACATTCAATATTCTTCACCAATACCACAATTCAAGCGCATCAATTTTCCCTCAGTCTTCCTCACACATTTTCTCTCTTTCACATGCATATGAGGCTACTGAAATGACTTGAGTTAAATGCACCTTAGTCTTCAAAGTGACATCTTTGCTCTTAAACATATTAAAGAGGTTTTTTTCTTTTTTTTCTCAGCAGGTTTGCCCAATGCAATACCTGTTTGATTTCTTGATTGCTGCTTCCCTGGGCATTGATTGTTGATTTGGTTGTTTTGGTTGGTAACAGTACAGCTGTGGAATAAAAAAATAAAATTAATATCTGTACCTCTATTTCTTTGTCTTCTTCTAGATGTATTGAACAAAAATTTAAGCGCTGCCCTCCCCTGCCTACTACCAGTGTCATAATAGTTTTTCATAATGAGGCATGGTCCACCCTGCTTAGGACTGTCCACAGTGTACTCTATTCTTCACCTGCCATTCTGCTGAAGGAAATCATTTTGGTGGATGATGCTAGTGTAGATGGTAAGAAAGCACATGACAATTAGATTGTTTCCTGAGTCAATCCATGTGGTGTTGTCAAAGTGTATTTGGTTATATTGTGCTATCTGTATGCCAGCTTGGAGATTGAATGTAATAGCTTGGATGGTATGTGTGATGGATGAAAGTAGACTTTAAGACAAGAATATACCACAAATGTTCATGTATTTTGGAGTACAGAAATATATGAGACACTGTTTTTCATAGCTTTATAGATCTCACTGTGAGCTGTTTATTCAACAGTATAGTGAGTAAACATAAACTTGAGAATTCCTTGAGCCAGGCTGCCTTAGTTTGAATCTAGCTCTGGTCCTAACAAGCTATAATACTTTGGCAAGTTACCTCACCTCTGTATCTCAGTTTGTTTATCTGTAAAATAGGGATAATGCCCTATTTTATCAAATCTATCATAAGATGTACCATTAGTTTATAAACCACTAGTAAGAAACAACAACAAAAGCAAATCAGGGGCCAATTAAACTAACATGCCATTGATTATAAGAAGTATCAAATTGTGCATCTTAGAAATGAGAAAATATAGAAATAATACAAAACTCCTGTGATTGTTTTGAGGATTAAATGAGTTAATATAAATAATATATTAATAAGTAAATAATATAAATAAGTAATTAAAAATTACTAAACCAAACCCCACTCACTGCCATTGAGTTGATTCTGATTCATAGTGACTTCCATTGGGTTTCCAAGGTTGTAAATCTTTATGGAAGCAGATTGCCTTATCTTTCTTCTATGCAGCAGCTGGTAGGTTCAATCAACCAACCTTTTGGTGAGCAGCCAAATGCCTTAAACACTATACCACCAGAGTTCTAAAAATTACTGAAGAGTCAATATATACTGTTTTGTTTTGGTTCTTTTAGATATTCCAATACTGTTTACAAAGTTAGCCAAGTGCTTTTATGCATTTCCATTTAAAATTTTAAGTAAAAAATTAGTTACCAAATTATACTTCTAAAATTGGTATCTCAAGACTAATCTCACAAATACTCTTCTTTGCTAAATTTTCAAGCATTACAAATATTTTAAATATCAAACATATACAGATTCCTTCAATGGTTACAAAACCTATTCCTCAATGAGCCCAGATTTGGAACCACATATGGAAGGTACTCTGTGTACAAAAAGAAAAGAAAACCAACAAAACTCCACCTATTAAGTGACATTCCATCAATTACAAAGTGTATGCAAATTTCAGAAATTGTCATGAGTGAATAAAACAAAATTATTAACTTGGTTTATGTAATTTGTTTTGTTTTACATTACATATAATTCTCATGTTTCAAAAAATATGTCCTGAGAGAACTGAGGCTATATTCTTAAATTAACATGTAGGTGGAATGAAATTGCTTATTTCCAGAGATTTTTGAATTGGAGGGGAAATCCATCCTCCAAATGGGAAAGGTTCATATTTCAGGTCTCCTGAATTCAGGTTATGTACTGTAGAACAATTTGTATCTTTTCTGTCCTTACCCATGTTACTTCACCATTGTCATCGACTGATTTATTTACTGCTTATTTTGTCCTGAGTTTTCTCATATTCCTTCTGTCTAGTTGGACTATAGTTCATGGAGTCTTAAGTCACATCGCATTACATTCTGAACACTTCTTACATATCTTTTAAAAAAATCTTAGAAATTGCTCCCTCTTTTTTGGTTTGTGGAAGCTCTTATTAAATGATTTTTGTTGTTTGATTTCCCAGGTGAGAGGGCAAGAGGCGCCATGCTAATTCTTCAGTTGAAGGTCATTTCTATTATTTAATTCATAAAACAAAGCTATAGCATGAAAGGAAATCAGAATTAAAAACAATACTCATTCAAAATCTTTGTTTCAACCATTTCCTTCTTTCCTTTTCTCTCCTACTCATTGTATAAATAGCAGTGTTTATCTAATTATACTCACGTCAGAAATCCAGTTTTGAAATCTGACATCACATAATATTGTTATTACCCTGTTTGTTTTACCTTCAAAGCTTTATTTTTAATGAAAATGGTGGACTAGGTGCATTTTACTTAACCATTCACCTGTTATCACATCATAGTGTTACTGTGTGATACTGCAATTAGTATCTCTGTGCTTATGTTATTTTCCTTATCTTGAATTATACCTTTGTATAAGTTAGAAGTAGGACTTTGGGTTCAAAGGGTTTGAGTATTTTTATTATTCTTTATAGCAGTCATCAATGGAGTTGGAACAGTTTTCATGGCCAGAGCTATCTTTGCATGGTACTATTATGGGTTTATTGAATCACAGAACTATCTTTTTGACTGATGAGTTCCCACTGTGAAAAATGTGTCTCTGGTTGCTGTAAAGAACTCTGTGAAGTAGAAACTATAGTCCCTGATTTCAGTTTGCTTAGTGTTTTGGTTACCTAGTCCTACTCTGACAAAAATATACCACAAATGGGATGGCCTTAACAAACAGGAGTTCATTCTCTTATAGTTTGGAGGCTTTAAGTCCAAGTTCAAAATGCCAGGCTCTAGGGGCTGGGTGAAAGTCCCTCAACCTTGGCCTTCAGCTCTGCCTCCTGCTCCTGGCCCACTGAAGCTAAAGGCTTTTCTTGACTCAGACAGCTAGCTGCTGGCTGCTGAGGCTGACAAGCCCAAGGTTGACAAGTAAAAAGGCACAGTTCTGATGTTACCAAACCACATGGCAGGCCGTTAACTCAAGTCCATTGAAAGTCTCTAGGTTGGCAGAACATGGCAGGCTGCTGAACAATGACACAGCTACATGCAGGGTTCAAGCATGCCATAAGCTACAGACTTCCCCAAGGCTTCTCCTTATATACAGGAAGCAGACCATATCCCAGGCAGCTACTCAGCAGCTCATAGTAGATTCCACCATGGAATTAGTTACCAGTCTCATCATGGGGATGGGAGCTCTGGTAGCATAGTGGCTAAGTCACTTGCCTGCTAACCAGAAGGCTGATGGTTCAAACCCACCAGCCACTCCTCAGAAGGAAGGTTGGGCAATCCTACTTCCGTAATAATACTGCCTCGGAAACCCAAGGAGGGGTCGCTATGAGTCGGGGCCGACTCCACGGCACATAAAAACAACAACAACTCATCATGGGGAGTATTATACATCCAGTTGCCAGCCACTCAACCAGGCCCAACAAAGTTGACATACAAAGTTAACTACCACACTTAGGGAGAAGCAGAATAATTATGTGGATAATCATGTAAACAACAGAAGAGTTAAATCCCAAGGGTAACAGAACAAAAGCTAATCAACACTTTCAGAGCATAATCCATGTGCTAGGCCCTGTCTTAAATGCTTTATTTGTGCATTAATCTCCCATTTTCTCCTCCCAGAAATCCACTGGTGAGAGTAGGTCATGTTATCCATGTCTTACAGAACACGACACAGAGGTACAAAAAGGTAAAATAGCTTGTCCAAGGAATACAGCTAGAAGTAATGGTGCCATAAATAGAAAACAGGAGGTGAATTTCACAGGTCTGGGCTCTTAACCCCCCCCAAAAGAGGGATGTGGCTGGAGACCAAATTTAGAAGGCATATAAGATTATCAGAATTTGAGAAGTTGTGGGTAAATAAAAAAATTAGCAATTTCATATATTGAAAGGCTTTATTGAAGGCATCTATAGTGACTCCATTAAAAAAATTCAATACTCTTAAGACCTTCGAAATATTTCTATTTTACAAGTCTTTTAAAGCAGAAAATATCTATTATTGTATTTTCAAAACAAATTACAGTCTTGCTTGTGTTTCAGAGAATTGATTTTGAGATACTCATAACCAAAAACCAAATGCACTGCTTTCGAGTCGGATCCGAATCATAGCGACCCCTCCTTGGATTTCGGAGGCAGTTTCACTAGGGAAGTAGATTGCCCAACCTTCCTTCCGAGGAGTGGCTGGTGGGTTTGAACCGCCACCCTTCTGGTTAGCAGTCAAATGCCTTAAGCACTACACCACCAGAGCTCCCTTGAGATACTTGGAAAGTCTTAAAAAGTTAATCTGTTATGCTGTGGTAACTGTTTAGATCACTTTATTTTCAAAGGGTTGTTCCTGGACCCTTGTCTCCTCTATGAATGTTTAAGTTTTTGAATAAGCAACTCTCTTATCTGTACTACTGGAGAATCAAAGAAGCATATCTAATTCCAGATAAAACCAAAGTCATCTGTATTTGTTTCTGAAATCCGGAAGAAACAAATATCTACCCCAAGACATCTATTTGGCCTTCTCAATATTCCCAAATCTTTTTGAGGCTATACTAGGGGCCCAAGAAGACCACTTGAAAAACTGGTTATCTACTCAAAAAGAATCAAGACTTCAGTTGCGACAAACCAGACTAGAGAATTTAAAAACATGAACAACACTTAACTGACTTGATGAATGTGTTTTTCTTTCACTTACTATCTCAACTTTTATTTATTATGTATCTCATCCGAACTGGAATATTGTAAATCTTAACTTACACACCCATTACTAAAATTTTACCTGTTTTTAACTTCATTCCTGATTTACATACTCCTTTCTTCTTCTATGTTTTTAATGGAAGATATTCTGTCATAAGCCTCCAAACTTTTTGAAAAATTTCTGCTCATTGTAGAAATAATGCCAAACTGTTCTAATTCTGAATCTTCCTTCCCACCTTTGTCTCAGCATTTTAGTTCTCAATTTGTATTTTGATTGTTGCCTAAATATCAGAGAGTCTTTTTTGTTACTTATTTGTTTCTAAGATTTTAAGATTTAAATACCAATTTAAAAAATTGACAAACATGTTTTTGGTCAAATTTTATTTCTTTCACCCATGAATCAGTGTTCTCAGACATTTAAGTGAGTCTTGTCTTATGGGGTTCACTCCATTTGAAGTTTCTTACTTCCCTTTAAATACGTTATACTTACTGATATTAAGGATACAGGGTAAGTGTGTATTAAAACGTTGTTTGCTACAGTAGTTCAGAAATCAAGATTTGCCTTAATTTATATAGCCATTTTTTTCCCAGTAAAGAGTTGAGATAAAGATTTAATTATTGTCTTCATGGAAAGAACTTGTGCAACTTTTAATATTATAAATGGTCTTGGGTCATTGCTCTGTGGCTTCTTTGTTGCCTTTCGTATGTAAAATATGAAAATAAATGTAGAAGAGTTAATACTGACTCTTTTTTTTCCCTTACAGAATACTTACATGGTAAACTTGAAGAATATATCAAACAATTTTCAATAGTAAAAATAGTGAGACAGAAAGAAAGAAAAGGTCTGATCACAGCAAGGTTGCTAGGAGCAACAGTAGCAACAGCTGAAACGCTCACATTTTTAGATGCTCATTGTAAGTATGTATTTATAAACATAATCATAACATTTTCCCCTCCCCCTCCTTCTAATTTGTAAGGTAAGAAAACTTTTCTTTAAATACTTAATTGTATTTTCTTCGGCATCATCTTCAACCGATTATAGCAACGAGAGCCCAAGCAGGGAACATCTCTGCACAGGAACTTCCTTCCGTTTAAACAGAGCTCTTACCTTGTTTGTGTTTAAGGCTTCTCAACTTTAGCATCCCCAGTTACTAGCTTTCCTGAGAGTTACGGTTACCTGGAATTTTTTTTTTTTTTCAGAAGCTCATTCTGTTTAAAAGTAAAAACAAATTATTTTCTTTATTATTTTACTTCCTATACGCCTAAGGCACTTGACTGCTAACCAGAAGGCTGGCAGTTCAAACCCACCAGCCACTCTTCAGAAGGACCTACTTCTGTAGTGATACTACCTCGGAAACCCAAGGAGGGGTCGCTGTGAGTCGGGGCCGACTCGATGGCACATAACAACAACGACAACATACTGAAGTGAAAGTTGTTTAAATATATTTAACTCTTATCATTTAACTTTGCCTTGGTATCGATACTTTTAATATTTACATTTCAGTTTTTTCCCCTCCAAAGATATGTGGACTCCCTCCTGTGCTAGTTCAGGCATTCTGCTTTCCAGCTTCACTTGGTGTCTCTTCCATGAACGTTATCAATTTTTGTTGCTGCTTTTGCTGTTCATAGAATTTTAATTTTTTTTAGCGTCAATGTTTTTAAATAAATCATTTAGAAAATATTTTAATATTTAGAATCAATGTTTAATGTGAATGTTAGATATTATCAAGGTCCTTTGGTCTATAAGTTTTATAAGTACTTAGTCCTTTGAGCTATAAGTTTAGTGTGTTTTACTGTTAATGCTTATATGAGTGTTTAGCTCTGAACTGGCCAGTCCTTAGGTTGAGTTTGACCCACACCATTGTTTAGAGCATACTCTAATTGTTGCAGAAAGACTTTTGGATTTGCTTGAGTAATTTAAAAATTTTACGTCAAGTACTCTCTTAATAACAGGCATTTAAAAATGAAGAGAATGTAAAGGTAATTCAAAAGAGGCTTTTTAAAAGGGAAATGGCTCATTATCCAGTATTCCCACGCTTGGTCCAAAATTAAAATAATTTCAGAGCTAGTAGTTTTCCCCTCCAGATGAATGTGTCTGATAGTAGATAGTGTGGCTAATGGCTCTTCCTGGAAGCTGACTGTCAAGTTCTGCTCAGTGAGGAGCCCAAAGTAAGACTGCCTATGTCAGCATCATTGGATTCGCAGTATATTATGTCAGACCACTTATCTTGTGCCAGGACTCAGAACTCTCACAGGAATCCTTGTCCCCACTCCTTTCCTTTAGCACTGGGGCAGCTTTGAATGGTCCTTGTTCTCCAACTCTTTGGAACATTCTGACTCATTAACTTATTTTCTCCTAAGATCAAATCAAAGGAATAAAAATTCCAATTACTAAACCTTACTCAAGGAGACAAGTTTAATAAATCAAAATACTGATTTTTCGATGAGATAGTGCTGATCAGCACAAAGTTATGGCCCATTACAAAGTAAAACATATTAGCTGAGTCCTAAATACACCAACCAAAACCTTTCTAAGGGAAAAATAAAAACATCACATTTAGGGGAAATTTCCTAACTTATACCGAATCTTACTTTACTTTTTTTATTCCACTCTCATCACATACACACACACACACATATAAACTTTAAAAAAGTTCCCATGTGAAGATATTCAAACCACAAATGACTTTGTTATTATTATTTCTCTGTAAACCTTCTTCCAAAAATAAATAAATAAGTAAAATAATTAAAGAAACTCATTAATTAAATTTTCTCATGAATTAAATTGTATGCCCTCTAGGTGAGTGTTTCTATGGTTGGTTGGAACCTTTGCTGGCCAGAATAGCTGAGAACTACACAGCTGTTGTGAGTCCAGATATTGCATCAATCGATCTTAATACTTTTGAATTCAACAAACCTTCTCCTTATGGAAGTAACCATAACCGTGGAAATTTCGACTGGAGCCTTTCCTTTGGCTGGGAATCACTTCCCGATCATGAAAAGCAAAGAAGGAAAGATGAAACCTACCCAATTAAGTAAGATGATTGCTCTCAAAGTCTTATATTTGAACCAGACATTTTGGTAATTTAAATATGTATGTACTGTCTGCTTGTACAGCACTTGCCTCTGAGGTAGTCCACACCAAGGAAATAAAGAACACTCACAGTCTACATGCAAGAAACCGAAAAGTCGTTCTCTTAGGTACTCACACATGACACACGGAGTAGGAAGTAGAATTAAGTGAGTTCCTAGTCTTCTTCTTAATCATTGCTTATGAACATTTAAACTTGATTGGGAGAAGACACTTAAAGTATGTGTGCATTTTCCCAAAAAAATTGACCTTGAAAATAATATTTTTGCTTTTTATTGGCCTATATAAAAGCTTTGAGATTGTGATATCTGTGTAATTCAGTTGTGAATTTGATACACTTGCTCTAAATGCTATTTTATTGTGTTTTTATAACGATGTTTGACAATGGATTATTTTTCAGAACACCCACTTTCGCAGGAGGACTTTTTTCCATATCAAAAGAATATTTTGAATATATTGGAACATATGATGAAGAAATGGAAATCTGGGGAGGTGAAAATATAGAAATGTCTTTCAGAGTAAGTTTATGGAGACTAAATATAGCACATAGCATTGAAGAGGGCAATATATTGTATTCTGATTGGTTGATACAGATTATCATGCATGTGGACAATCTTTACTTTTTATGATTTCTAAAATTTAATTGCTGGAAAGTTTGGAATAAGGATATTTTCTTTTAAAATGTAACTTAATATATTTATTGGTTACTGCCAATGTAAAAAGAGGAATCAGTTAAACTTCTGTGTCCAGGCAATAACACCAATTAATGCACTTGTAGCTACTGAATTCCAGCCAAGATAAATATAATTAAATCCACTGCTTCAGGAAATGAGTTGATTATCAAGGGAGTCAGAATGGAAAAACATTTATGTATAATTTTAGAGGACATTGGACTTAACTCTTTGGATTAAATGAGCTGGTTTTTCTCTATACACATTAAAGTTAATATGAAAAACAAAACGAAGGCTTTGGATTGTCTCCACATGTACCTCATTTATTTTATTTCATGAGTTCATTTTCCTGCAATTGACTTTAAAGTTCATTTTTTCATACCTTAGGCTGGAATGTGGTAGAAAAAAGACTGAATTCAGAATTATAAGATTTAAGTTTTGGCTTTGGCTCCATCATACGCTGGCAGTGATAATCTTGACCAAGCTTGAACCTCTTCAGGATAAGCATCTTGTTTTATTCATCTTGGTATCTCCAACAACTAGCACATTTGTATCTCAAGCACAGTTTGTTAAGTTGAACATGTTGTTGTTGTTGTTGTTATGTGCCGTCGAGTCAGCCTGACTCATAGTGACCCCTCCTTGGGTTTCCAAGGCAGTATCACTACGGAAGTAGGATTGCCCAACCTTCCTTCCGAGGAGTGGCTGGTGGGTTTGAACCGCCAGCCTTCTGGTGAGCAGGCAAGTGTCTTAGCCACTATGCTACCAGAGCTCCCAAGTTGAACATAGCACTATATTTTCTCATTTGTTTGTAAAAGAGGAAAGAAGAGAGAGGGAATATAATTACGTTCCCTAACACTAACATGAACTATTAAACATGACTTCATTTCAGACTTTTTCTTAGTGATTATTTCTGGCAAGACCAAATGTATTGATTTCATTACTTGTTATTTTATTTAGAGTTAATGCAAATAAGTTTTTTAAACTCTAAATAGATATGCATTATTTTATAATGACCAACTGTTTCACAAAGTTACTAGATTACTCTTTGGCAGTAATGTCTGTTTGAAATTCTTTTCTTGACTATGAACTTGAATATGCAAAGAGTAACTGAATGTTAGGTTTGGTTGTTCCCACACTGCTGCTGGTTCATTGCTCAAATGAAGTGACCTTGTAAGTTGTAGAGAAGATGGAAATCAAATGCAGAAGAATCTTCTGTTTTCCTGTCAATTAGAGTACTTGCATAATTGTTTGCAAAAAGAGAAATTTTGGAATTCATTTGTATAAAAGATCTGGAATAACTTTTGCTAACTTTCTTTTTGAAAATATGCTTTTATTGTCTTCTGTGTTTGTACAATTTAGTAAAATCGTTATCTATATTTAAGAGCCTAAGTTGAACTTCCAGGAGAGAGGTATTATGTGTGAAGTTGTAAAAAAAAAAACCACCTATTTTCTCTATATTTTTCTTAAAGTCTTAAAGGTGAACTTAAAAGCAACACTTTGATCTTCCTAAAATACTGTAAATTTAAACAAATATCATTAATTATCAGGTATGGCAATGTGGTGGGCAGTTGGAGATTATGCCTTGCTCTGTTGTTGGACATGTTTTTCGCAGCAAAAGCCCTCATACCTTTCCAAAAGGCACTCAGGTGATTGCCCGCAATCAAGTTCGCCTTGCAGAGGTCTGGATGGATGAATACAAGGAAATATTTTATAGGAGAAACACAGATGCAGCAAAAATTGTTAAACAAGTAAGTTAGACCTAATTAATTCATTTACAATAATAATTCACACTGAGTTTATATATCCTTTTGCTTATTTGAGTCTCAAGTACAAAGCATAGAAAAATAATTATTTTTGATTATTTTTTTTAACTCTTTAAAATTATATCTTACTGATGTCAGTTTTCTTCTTTTGTAAGGAGATATTTAGGGGATTGCTTTAAAAAAGAAAAAAATCAGGCATTCTAACTGATGTTATCTTTTTAGTATAGAAGATATGTAGTTTTCCAAAATGTCTTGATTCAATATTTTACTTAAAGAAAATAAGTGAAACCAATCTTCACTGGTTTTAGATGTGATTAACACATAAATCGAGGGGCTAATTGGCCTTTTGAACATGGAGATAGAGACAAAGTCATGGTGTGACGTGAAAATGAACCAGGAAGGTCAAGGCTTCCCCCACCCTTGCCCCTACCCCCATGTTCTGGTTCCAGTACTCACTGGAGGTGTTCACCTTGTCAAAGCTCCTGTGAGATGGTAAAATGAAGATAAAACTTCAGAGGGTGGTTGAAAGGCTGTAGGACATGGGGTTATGCTTAACAAGCTCCTTCTCTCCTCTTCTCTGTCTTTAAGGATGAAATACATACTCTGACTATCTGACAGGGTATCTATGAAAGAAGAAAGTAATAAGTATTGTCAAATGTATGGTGCTGTTGTTATTGACCTGTCATGGATAAAAATTCTGCAAAATCTTAATATAGTAGAACTGAGTTACAGCAGTCTTAATATTAGTTGTGGTAAAAATACTATCAGTTTAACATGTTTCAGTGAGTGGCATTCAACTCTTGTAGGAAACAACTAATTTTTTTGGGGGGGTGGGTTTCTTGGTGGTCCAGGTTATCAAGATTCTGACTATCGTGATAAAGAATGATCTGGTTATATCTTTCTACCTTTTCTTTGATCTCCAGTATCTCCCTGGAGCTTGTCATTAGGATGCAAACTCAGCACACTATTGGATTAGATTGCAATCTTTTTACCTAGGGCTGCCGAACAAATTGGGTAGACTGTGTACTGCACAAAGTACCTGGCTAAGCAGGCACATTGGCACTATGTGCAGCCCATGTTCTGCTTGTCACCTACAAAGAGCCTAATGAGCCAGAAAGCCTTTCTTTTTTACTACAAGGCAAATAGGCCCACCTAGTAAAAAAGCATCAGGAGCTCTGGTGTCGTGGTGCCTAAGGCATTTGACTGCTAACCAACAGACTGGCAGTTCAAACCCACCAGCCACTCTGCGGAAGGAAGACTGGGCAATCTACTTTCATAAAGATGTACCGCCTCGAAACCCAAAGGGGGTTGCTATGAGTCGGAATCCACTTAATGGCAGTGAGTTTGGTTTGGTTTTTAATAAAATGACTGGGCAATCTTCTCCCATAGAGATACTGCCTCGGAAACCCAAGGAGGGGTCGCTATGAATCAGGACTGACTTGACAGGAGTGAGGTTTTTTTTTTGTGTGTGTGTGTGTGTGTGTGTTGTATAAATTAGCCAGAAGTTTTAAAAGCTTCATACTATTTGTCCAAATGTTGTATTCAGGACATTGAAGTTGGCATAAGAAAATATTTTTCTGAGTTGAGCTGATAAACTTGAGTATTTACTTTTTCATAAAGGAGTCTCGGTGGCACAGTGGTTAAGTGTTTGGCTGCTAATTGAAAGGTCATTGATTTGAACCCACAGCCACAATGCAGGAAAAAGATGTGGCAATTTGCCTTTGTAAAGATTATAGCTTTGGAAACCCTATAGGGCAATTCTACTCTGTCCTAAATTTACATATCAAATATCATTTTTCTCCAAAATTTTTCCAGTAGACCATATACCTTTTTAATTCACTAGTACTCTTTTTTTTTTCTTAGTCCTTTAAAATAAGGGAAAATAAAATGAATTTAATTTAAAAGAAATTATTTTCCTGGGTGTATTTTTAGGATTAAGCAGCACCACCTTGAACTAAAAAAATGATTCCCAACTGTGTCATTTTTTGTGGACTTGACTGAGAAAGAGCTATAAATTGTATTATGCATTGGCACTGTTTACTGATACCTGCTTTCTCGTACCTCACTTTACGGATCACTGGATAAATTTTGGGTGTTCCTACTTCCATTCCTTTGTGTCAGCATTTCACTGTGGGGGAGATTTTGTGGCACAAATGATAAGTAAAATAGCACCATGTCATAAGGTCTGAAAAAACGGTGAATGAAGTTAAATTACATCTTGCATTTTAGCCCAGATTTTTAAAAAGACCTAAATATAAATACAAAGAGTAGCATTTGAAGTACTTTACCAGTGGAGGTTTGATTATGCATCTCCTTCATTTTCCATTTTCTTCAGAAGTCCTATGGTGATCTTTCAAAAAGATTTGAAATAAAGCACCGCCTTCAATGTAAAAATTTTACATGGTATCTGAACACTATTTATCCAGAAGTATATGTGCCAGACCTTAATCCTGTTATATCTGGATATGTGAGTATTTTCCAATTCCTTTTTACTTGACACATTCCTTGCCAGCAACATTTTTTTATGTGGTTCAGGGAAAATTGCTGAAATACTTTCTGATTTATTGCTTTTGAGATTTTATATTATTATTAATATTACATCCTGAATTGAACTGAAGAAATTTTAAATGTGTAGATTTTTAAAAATATATTGTAACTTGAAAATTTTCCTTTAGATTAAAAGCTTTGGTCAGCATCTGTGTCTGGATGTTGGAGAAAATAATCAAGGAGGCAAACCATTAATTATGTATACGTGTCATGGACTTGGGGGAAACCAGGTGAGCACTGCATTGCAAATCCTCCCATCTCATCAGGACTTATAGACAGAGCTAAATTGTTGTCAGATCCATAGTCTTCCATTTTTCTTCCTGCTCATTAGCCTCAGCTTACTGTAATCCCAACCCTTACTTACTTACCTAAACTAATCAATCTACTAAGTGTAGAGGATACAGAAGCCAAGAAGCCAGAGCTAGTGAACAGGACCCAGATGTAATTGCTAGACTCTCAAGATGTAATTCTGAAATGGGATGGAGATATATGTGTGTGTACATATATGTGTGCATATGTGTATGTATACATATATATGCATATATGCACACTTAAACTTCTGTTGTTGTTGTTGTTATGTGCCATTGAGTCGGCCCCGACTCATAGCGACCCCTCCTTGGGTTTCTGAGGCAGTATCACTACGGAAGTAGGAATGCCCAACCTTCCTTCCGAGGAGGGGCTGGTGGGTTTGAACCGCCAGCCTTCTGGTTAGCAGTCAAGTGCCTTAGGCACTATGCTACCAGAGCTACTGCAAATGTCAAGAGTCCCTCACCTTGTGAAGTTCAGGGTCTAGAAGGGGAAGAAAAATAAATATGTAATTTCAAGTATGAAGAAATATAGCAGGGTAAGGGTATAATTGTGTGTGTGTGTATGTGTGCAGACAGTGAATTTTTTCAGAGGTTAGGAAAGAACTCTTTGAGGGGGACTTAGAGCAGAGGGCTGCCTGGTTGAGAGAAGAGCCCTGTTCCAGGAGAAACTGGCGGAGGGAATAGCAAGGGCAGAGGCCCTGTGGTAAGGTCGTGTAGGCAGCAGAAAGCATGTGAGCCTGGAGAAGGGTTGTCCAGACAGACAGGGAAAGACCGGATGTCAGAGAGATAGGTAAGGAGCCTGGTCCTGTAGTGCTTCGAAGGCCTTGTTTTGGAACTTAGGCTTATTAATTATTAATTTGGTGTGCAACAGAAGCCACTGGAAGGTTTTGAGCAAGAGAATAATATTGTTAGGTTTATGTCTTTAAACAAAACAAAACAAAACAAAACAAAAACATTACTCTGGCTTCTATTACCCTAATACAGCCATTGATTTAATTTTGGTTTCTTTCCTTAAAATTATTTTTCAGTCAAGCACTGAATTTAAACTACTTTGCAAAGCTTAGTTTCTTGAGTGCTAAACAATTTTTTAATATTTTAGGTTTTATTGGGATTTGAGTGAAAGTTTACAGAACAAATTCATTTTCCATACAGTAATTCACACAGACACTTTGTTTCATGACATTGACTACAATCCCCACAATGTAACAGCTCTCTTCCCACTTCCTCCCTGCAGTTACCTCCTCCCTGTGTCCTTTCCTATGCATTCCGGCCCCATGAACTGTCTCCCTGTGCAAGTACTGCCCTTCTGTTCTCCCTAAGCAACATTTTTTTTTTGGAGATATTATCTAACTTGATTATTTCCTCATGTCACTTCTCTTGTTTTGATCAGATAATAAGTTTTTTATTGAATATCCAACAAAACATTTGCAAATGCAACAGTTTCTACATGTACAATTCAGTGTCATTGATTATATTCATCATATTGTGCAACCATTACCACTATTCTTTATGAAATTATCCCACCACCAATAACAGAACCTCATTTGTCCTCTAAGCAGTGATTCCACTTTTCCCCTTCTTCCCACCCCTGGTAGCTACTGATAAGCTTTGGTTTCTGTACATTTGCCTGCTTCATATAAGTTGGATCATACAATATTTGTCATTTTATGACTGACTGACTTCACTCAGTATAGTATTTTCAAAGTTCATGTTGTAGCATATACCAGGACTTCATTTCTCTTTATAGCTGAGTAATATTCCAATGCATGGGTATAGCACATTTGTTTATCCATTCATTTGTTGTTGGATATTTAGGTTGTTTCCACCTTTTGGCTTTTGTGGATAGTGCTGCAATGAACAATGGTGTACAGGTTCCTCTTTTCAGCTCTTTAGGTATATACTTAAGATTGGGGTGGTTGCATCATATGATAGTTCTATATCAAACTGTTTTCCACAGCCACTGTGCCATTTTGCATGCCCACCAGCAATGGATGAGGATTCCAATTTCTCCACATCCACACCAACATCCGTAATTTTTTGTGTTTCGATCATAGTCATTCTAGTTTGTTATCTACTGCTACTATAACAGAAATACCACAAGTGGATAGCTTTAACAAATAGAAATGTATTCTCTCAGTTTTGTTGTTGTCGTTATGTACCATTGAATCGACCTTGACTCATAGCAACCCCTCCTTGGGTTTCTGAGGCAGTATCACTACAGAAGTAGATTGTCCCATCTGCCTTCCGAGGAGTGGCTGGTGGGTTTGAACCACCAGCCTTCTGGTTAGCAGTCAAGTGACTTAGGCACTATGCTACCAAAGCTCCCCTCTCTCAGTTTAGAAGACCGGAAGTCCAAATTCATGGTGCCAACTCTAGGGGAAGGCTTTCTCTCTCTGTTTGCCCTGGGGGAAGGCCCTTGTCTGCTTTCAACATCTGTGTTGGTATCTGGTATCCCTTGGAGATCTCCATGTGTCTTGGCATCAATCTTGCCCTAGATCTAGGAGGTTCTCAGCTTAGGGAGCCTGGGTCTAAAGAATGCACTCTACTCCCTGCTCTTCTTTTTTGGTTGTAAGGAGATTGCTCATTAGCTGCTTGCCTCTCTCTCCCTTTATCTGTTGTAATATAAAATGTGATGCAGGCCACACCCCAGGGAGACTCTCTTTATATCTGATCAGAGCTGTGACCTGAGTAAGGGTGTTATGTCCCACCCTAAGAATCCAGGCAAGTTGACTCATTTTCAATTCATGACAAGGAGTGAGGTGGTGTATCACTGTGGTTTTGATTTGCATCTCCCTAATTACTAATGATGTTGAACATTTTTCATGTGCTTTTCAGGCATTTGCAGATGCATTTTTAAAATATAAAACTCCATTGTAACATTATTTGTCAATGTCAAGTAAAAATGAATATTTTAGTTATGTGACTGACTTGAAAATATACTGCTACAATGTACTTTTAAGTCATTATGACTTTATGACAATGCTTTGCTTCATTCATATTTTCTTTTAGGCTATTTGTTTGGGTTCTAGTTTACAGTTCTAACTTTCTCGGTTACCTTATTACATACTCTTTTTTTTGTTGCCTAAGTGCTTTTCAAACTAGTATTTTTAGCTATTTTATATTCCTTATACCATCCCTTTTAATGACATTTTTTTATGACTGAGGTAAAATAAAGAGAACACTGGTGGCACAGTGATAAAGTGCTCAGCTGCTAACTAAAATGTCAGTGGTTTGGACCCTACAGCCAATCCACAGGAGAAAGATGTGGCAGTCTGATTCCATAAAGATTATAGCCCTGGAAACCATATGAGGCTGCTCTACTCTGTCCTATAGGATTGCTATGAGTCAGAATCAATTTGATGGCAGTGGGTTTGTTTTTTGGTTTTTTTTAAGGTAGAAGCCTAGACAATTTTCTTTATCATCTTGACAATGGTAAGGTCTATCTTTTCTAAAATGCTGTTTTTATGGTCTAAACCAATTTTTTTTTCCCAGTGTCTCTATCATAAGAACTACCAGTTATAAAAATGTCTAAAGTTATACTTGTAGGAAGAGATAAAACAATCAAGAGACTAAAACCAGGGGAACTCAAGATGCATCGCTCTGTTAATTCTACTAATGTTTGTGGAGTGCCTACTCTAATGCTAGCCTAGCACATAATAAAGACTCAATAAATATTAGTGTGAATACTAATTATTTCATTATTGAAAATCAATTATGTTAATTTTATCTTGAGAATGTCAACATTATTAAATATTTGATTTGTAATGAATGTTATTACTAGAGATACTACCTGAGTTGGTCTGTGGGGAAGTCAGCTAGCTAACACACACAATTCTAATAGAGTGCTATAAAAGTTATCTTTGATGTAGGTAGGAGCCTTGAGAAGAGTATAATTTTGTACACTTGGGAAATTCAGGGAAAGCCAAAAAAGGAAGGTAATACTTGAGTTGACTCTTGAAGAATGAAAAGGAGCTAATCAGGTAGAGAGGGTGTGCAAGATATTCCAGGCAAAGCACAGTGAGCAAAGTCTTAGTGTTAAGGACATGTATGTTCTACTTTGGTAGAATTGTGTGGAAAGAGCATAGTATATCTTTGAGGGAATGGTTGATGTAAGATAAAAAATGAAAGACTTCGTGTGCCAAGTAAGGAATGTGGACTCTATTTTAACAACAGAGGAGATTCATCTAAACAGAGGAGGTAGAGGATAGAGGAGGTAGAGGATTTCATCAGTGTTAGAAAATAAATGATAGCAGAGTGAATCATAGATAATAGAAATTGGAAGTAGCTGGGAATATAACAGATTCTGAAGGCCTGAACAAGAGAAGTCAGGAGACTGAATTAAGGATGGAATGGTAACATTTCAGAGGATAAATATGTCACTAACTAGAACTAAGGGATGTGTGGGGAGAGAGAAGTCTTGATAGTAGTAGCAATAACTAAAATTTACTGAGTGCTTACCATGTGCTAGTCATTGTTCTAGGTTCTTTCTATATATTAATTCATTTATCTTCATAAACTCATGGGTTAAGAGCTATTAAATTACCCTACTTTACAGGTGAGGAAAGTGAGGCATGGACTGACATCCATAATTCCTAGCTTAGATGAAAATGCCATTAATTGACATAAGTAAGGGAGAAGGACTCCTCAGAAGGAAGATGGGGCAATCTACTTCCGTAGTGATACTGCCTTGGAAACCCAAGGAGGGGTCGCTATGAGTCGGGTCCAACTGGATGGCACATAACAACAACAACAAGGGAGAAGGAGCATATATGAACAAGAAGAGACACACACTTTTTTTCTGGGCAGTTCTGTCAAATATCTGTCCTAATCCGTATCCTACCTGATAGCTTCCCATTTCTGATATGGGGAGAAATATGATAACTTCCTCATTAAGTGTTGATAACGGACCGAAGGAAGGTTATAGTGTCTTCTATCATTAAACTGATGTTTCTGATAACTTTTATCATATTGTTTTATTGAACTAGACATGACTTCGTTATTCAGTAAGTTGCTGATTTTTCTTTATTGGCTCATTTTGCAACTGAGCATACGGAGTGTTTTTGTCAGTAACAGTGCTCTTCTTTCCCTAGTACTTTGAATACTCTGCACAGCATGAAATTCGACATAACATCCAGAAGGAATTATGCCTTCATGCTGCTCAAGGTCCTGTTCAGCTGAGAACATGTACTTATAAAGGTCACAAGACAGTTGCTGCTGGTGAACAGATATGGGAGATTCAAAAGGTATCTCAGTGCAAGCAATCCATCCCTTTATGCAATTATTTGTTTAGCTCTAATTGCTTATCTAGGAGCTCTAGTGGCACAGTACCTAAGACATTTGACTGCCAGAAGGTTGGAGGTTTAAACCCACCAGCTGCTCCATGGAAGGAAGTTAGGGCAATCTACTTCTGTAAAGATTTACCACCTCTGAAACCCAATAGCGGTTGCTATGAGTTGGAATTGACTTGATGGTAGTGAGTGAGTAATTGCTTATCTAAGAAGCCTTAGTGGTGCAAATGTTTAAGCACTCTGCTGCTAACCAAAGGTTGCTGGTTCTAACTCACCCAGTGGTTCCTTGGGAGAAAGACCTGGTGATCTGTTTCCATAAAATTTACAGCCAAGAAAATTCTATGGGAAGTTCTCTGTCACATGGATTGGATTTGTACCTGGCTATACCCTTATACAACAACAACAGCAATTGCACATCTGGGAAAATGTGTGAAATACAGTTTGTTAACTATCCATCAGAATTACTCTGCCTTTGTTAACTTTTTATATGTCTACCCATGTATGTGTGTATGTAATATATAAAATATCTGTGAGTTAAATACTTGGTTAAAGTAAGGTTTATTCAAATCACCACTTCTGTGAATTTTTAGTAATAGTTACATTTTTTTGACTTTTGAGGGTTTCTTTTTTTAAAATTTTATTGTGCTTTGGGTGCAAATGTACACAGCAAATTTGTTTTATATTCAACAGTTCTTGCACATTTGATTTCACGCCCTGATTACCATCCCCAACCATAACAAACTTTGCTCCCCACCCCCTGTCCCTGTGACTCCCCCCTCCCTGTGCCCTTCTTAACTATGCATTCCTGTCTGTCCAGATTTCCTTCTATATGAATGCTGCCCCTCTGCTGTCTCATGACCAATTCCTCTGAGGGGTGTATCTCCCTAGAGTAGGTGGGTACATCCCCCCAGGGGTAGGTATTATGTATGTAGTTCTCTTTACTGTTGGGCTGAGAGCCAATCCATAGGAGTGAGGCCTGAAGGGTAACCCGGGGCCATAGTCTTGGGGGTTCTACCAGACTCTGTCCAACCAGTAATTACGGTCATTTTTGGTTTTTGAATTTTGTTCCACATTTTTCCTCCCACTCTATCCAGAATTTCCAGTTTTGATCCCTTTCTGAGTGGTTGGCATTGGTTGTCGAGCACCACCTAGTCCTTCTGGTCTCAGGGACATGAAGGCTGAAGTTCTCATGGTACATCTTATCCTTGGATTAATTGTTTCCAGATGCCTTTGATTTTCTTCACTCTTTGATTCAGATGAGAGGAGACCAATAGTTGCATCTTAGATGGCCACTTGAAAGCTTGTAAGACCCCAGTTGCTACTCACCAAAGTAGGTTGTATGTAGAACAAGATTTTTATGTACCATGTTGTGCCAATTGAGCATGATGTCCCCCAAGACTACAGTCCCAAGTTGGCAGATCTGGTGATTCTCTCTCTCAAGATGTTTGGTTGTCTCTGAGAAGTTACTCCATCTCTGCCTTCTATTGCTTCTGTAATATATGTGGCTAATTTTGTAGAACAAGTGTATATGTAAGATTATCTTCAGCCAAATTTCACCTACCCCCGCCTGATCTTCTCACCTTTCTATGCATTTATCTGTAACCTGGTGTTTGATGTTAGTGATAATGTAATATTGTGCATATACTAGTATTTGCCTCTATTGTCTATATCTTTTGTGCTGTAAATCTTTATAGAAGGAGACTGCCTCATAGTTCTCCTGCAGTGAGGGCAGCTGACCTTTTGGTTAGCAGCCAAGCACCACTGTGTCACCAGGGCTCCTATCATATATACAAAAACCAAAAACCAAAAACCAAACTCACTGTTATCGAGTTGATTCTGACTCATAGTGACCCTCTTTGGGTTTCCAAGGAGTAAATCTTTATGGAAGTAGATTGCCCAATCTTCCTTCCATGGAGTGGCTGGTGGGTTTGAACAGCCAACATTCTGGTTAGCAGTCAAATGCCATTGGCACTAGCCCACCAAAGCTCCTTATCATATATACAGGTCCCCCTAATATTTTTTTGTGGGTTTCTTGCATGCTTCTTGCAATGGTCACTTTTTTTTTTTTTTCTGGTCTTGGCACAGAGAGAAAAAAAAATTATTTTTTATCACCTAAAGTAATTAGTTTTTTCCTTTTGTTTTAGTACATTTTTATGAATCTAGAATTAAGATTAAATAAAAGAAAGGCCTCTTTGTTCAAATTGATATTTTAATACCTCATTGGAGCATAGCTATTTTAAAAATTGTTTTGTGAAACTAGAACACCATAAGGACTGGGTTTTTTGACTTAGCATTTTTCTCTTTTTTTTATGTTCCTTGAAGCAGTGTTTTATTTATTTATTTTTATTTGTTTGTTTTACTTTTATTGCGGTAAAAACATACACGGCGAGACATTCACCAACATAACAGCCTCCACATCTACAGTTCAGTAACACTGATGACACTCTTCACGTTATGCCACCATTATTGTTATCTTCTTTTCCAAATATTCTACCACCATTAGCAATTTATGATGTTTTATAAAGAATTTGCCAATGTTGAAGAAAAATGTATTCAGAGTTTGCTCCGTCTACTCTCTTCATGTATATAAACCTTGTATGAATTGAAGGGTAGTGCCATAAATGTTTAAAACTAGAAACCAAGATTCTATCATAGTTAATGTTAGAGAGATATAAAGTTAAAAATGATGTACATTTGATATGCAAGTCAGTCTTTAGCTTTGATGAAACCATAAAGCAGTTTTCATATTTATTAGTTAGTTATGAGTCTTGAAACTTAATGTCTTTTGTTTTTCCTTTTATTCTAGGATCAACTTCTATATAATTCATTCTTAAAAATGTGCCTTTCAGCAAATGGAGAGCATCCAAGCTTAGTGTCATGTAATCCATCAGATCCACTCCAAAAATGGATTTTTAGCCAAAATGATTAAGTGTTCCTTAAAATTAAGGAGTTAAAAAAGGAGGTATTTTTTCTCATAAAACTGTGACTAGGCATACACTGTAGTTTTTGAAGATCATGCAAAAGCAGCTAATTATAACTTATTCCAAGTGCATTTTTCTTATTTATATCTTAAATTGTCTACATAGCACTGCTACAGAAACACTTTAAGTTTCTGTTTCAAAGCACAATAATTAGTAATACCAAAGACTATTTTGAAATGTCCAGGTGTAGGAAAACAGATGTTTACAGCATGAAGAAAATTATTTGCGGAGTAAAGTGATGTTTTTGTGTTCTGTATGTTTAAGAATATACATAGTTACATTCAAATACAATTTAAAATATTTCCTCTAGTTTTTTGGGAGAGGGAGAAAGATTTGATACTGTATTTTCTTAATTACACAGAAATAGATCAGTTAAGGTCAAACATTGACCTTTGTGCACAATCTGGGAAATTTTTATAGATCTGGAATTTATTATTTAAAAATTTAGGTAAACTGCTTTGCCTTTTGTTTGTCTATTAAGTGTTTCCTTAAACATGAAATTAACTGAATAAGAAGAGGAATATTTTTAAACTCTTCAATTTCTTGGAAATTTTGGGATATTTTTTACTCTGAAGCCAACTCCACTTGAAGCACTTAAGTCTTCCTTAAATAGCTTTTCTTAAATGACTATAATGTGTTTTACAAAAGCATTTTTTAAAAAAAAAAAAAAGCTTTATAAATTACTATCTGTTGAAAACATGTTTTTTTTCTTTCCTTCTGTCTTTTTTTCTTTATCATAATTCACTAATCTTGAATGATTGTGAAATTATATTTCAAATATAGAACACTTGACTCATTTAAATCTGAGTTTTATGTTATTGATTCTATTTTAGATTGGTCTTGGTAATGCTTTTTTTTTCCATCCAGAAAGCCTTATTTTTAAATATCTGGAAATATAATTTTAAAAGTTCTAAATGCTATTTTAATCAATTTGATTAAGTTTTTTTTTCTCTCTTAGAGAATATATATAATTGATAATTGGTGAAGGAAACATGAATTTTATATAATGGATTTCTAAGCACCTATTGTTTGTAGAGCCATCAGATATTTAAGAAAAACATTTGATAGTAATGGCCTTAAAAAAAATGAGTACTGGAAAGATTCTATATTAGATATTTAAAAGATTTTATACTAATTTCTGATAACTTTCCTTAGACATCTGATAGTCATTTAAAAACAAATATGATGCTTAATTAGGAGAACTAATATTCTTTTTGATCAATTTATATGTAGATTTCTTATATTCTTATTCCAGAAGTAGAAATACGACTGGCTTCATGTTTTAAACCTGGCAGATCCTCAGTTGTACAAAAGAAACCTTTTTTTTTTTCTTTAAATTGGCCTAATCATCTCATTGTTTGTTACTTTGGACTTGAATTAAAAAACCTACATTCTTTAATAGATTACTATGACAACTTTTACTTCAATTCAAATAACACTGTTTGTCCAAATTTTTGTCAAAAGTAAGGCATTGCTCTTGAACATGTATGTGTCTCATGGAGTAGAAAGACAAAAAATTTTGAAATAATATATATAACATAAATATTGTTATATTTTATGATGCAGATGACAATTCACATTCATATTTGATATTTCTTTAATGTAAAGGTATTTCTCTATTACTGTAACTAAAAATAATATGTATTATGAAATATGCACTATTGTTCATTTATATGTACAAGTTTCTGTTTCTCAATTTGTTACTCTAGACATGAACATCCAGAAGCAAATATTGCTCCTACAATTTGTTATGTTTCCAAAAAAAAAAACCCTCAAACATATTTTATAAATGAACTTAAGTAAAGCATGTTTTATAAAAAGTAAACTTGAGTATATCAGTCATGTGTTGTAATGTCATGATTCAATCAAAATCTATTTAAATTAAGTTGATTTTATTATGGCTGAGTTAAATCCATTCAAAGGGAATGATGTTTTTACATGATTTGGGAGCCTCAGGCTATACAAATAATTTCATTAAGGATTGGCAATTTGGGACGGATAGTGTCTTTTAAAAGCCTGAGTCTTGGAACAATGCTTACAGGGAGATATTTATGGAGCCTGGCTAAGAGATTTACATGAACTCAAGTGTGAAATTGTAGAGCATTTGCTCTATTTGGAAGGTGAAGCAGTAGTTAAGTGTTTGGCTGCTAACTGGAAGGTAAGCTGTTCAAACCCACGAATTGCTCTGGGGGAGAAAGATGTGGCAGTATGCTTCTGTAAAGATTACAGGCTTGGAAACCCTATGGGGCAGTCCTAGTTCTACTCTGTCCTGTAGGGTCACTGTGAGTCTGAATCGATTTGACAACAAAGGGTTTTGTTCATCTGCTGTGACAAATGATCTAATAACTGTACAAGGACTGGCATGTCACCATTCTAGAAGACCAAGTCCCAAGGACTCCTGATTGGTAAGCTATACCACCTGACATGCTAGGGTCAACCTAATGGGCAAGCTCATTAAATACTGAGATGTGATTACACAGTTAACTACAAGAGAAAATAATACACTAAAATTGATTACAACTGCGACCGATGATGATAAGCTTTCTTTGAGTCTCTATATTACCAGAAAATTGACCTTACTGTTGATATACAGTCTAATTAAATATCATATAAACATCAAAACATAAGTACAAAAAGTAAGAAACTTCTATTTTTGAGAAAAAAGTTGAATGCTTTGGGAAGACTAGAAAAAAGTCAGGCTTCTCAGATTTCTATATTCAATTGTTTCACAGTTCATTTTAAAGAAAGCAAAATTTAAAACCTTAAGACCGTACATTTTTAGTGTGGTACTAAAAATGTTCATTTATATGTACAAGTGCATATGTACAAGTGCAGGGAAGATGTTTCAGAACTCTCATTAGCTAACTTATACTCAAAATGAAAGACCTTAGCACTACAACAGAATATTTATGAAGGGTTTAATACACTTACAAATATAGATGTATGTTTTAAGTTAAAACATTTTATATGTAGCTCTGGTAGCATAGTGGCTAAGGCACTTGACTGCTAACCAGAAGGCTGGTGGTTCAAAACCACCAGCCACTCCTCGGAAGGAAGGAAACCCAAGGAGGGGTCGCTATGAGTTGGGGCTGACTCGACGGCAAATAACAACAACAACAATGTATCTTTTTATTACTTTCTATTTTAAGTACTGTTTTTCAAATCATCAAACATTGGTACAATTCATTGGAGAAATGGTTTTCTCTTGTACCCATAAAATAGTCATGATTACTCTCTAGTTTTCAACAATGTTGAGGAAACATCTTTGTGTTTTAGGCATTGTACTAGGCACCAAGGATTAATGATATTCCAAATAGTCCCTATTTTCAAGAAGTTTATAGCCTAGGAATACGGGCCTCAATGAGGTATCATAATGATGTTTTAGGGATAAACAGTCTCACAGGGAAGTCAGTACCTTTAGCTGCCAGTGATTCCATTTCCAGGAGCCATTGGAGAGATCAGAGGCCCCATATTTTACAGAGAAATGACTAGATAATGCTCATCAGAGTTCACTGTACAAATCTGATGATCTTATTAAAATGCAGTCTGATTCACTAATTCTGGGCAAAAAAAGAATAAAAAATAAAGAGGAATTTTGCTTGGACATATGAATGAAGATGGTAGTCTGAGAACATAAAAGTTGGACTAACTCCACTCTGCTTTTTTTTTTTTTTAAATCAATACTGAAACTTTAATTCCACACTTTCACAAATGTATATATCATGGAACACTTTTTAAAAAAACAAACAAACAAAACAGCAGTTAACATCTACAGAAAAGGGCTCTGGACAAAAATTAAATGGCCCAAATATTTTATTAACAGTAGGAGCATATTCCCTTTATTAGGTACTTACTATTGATTTTCAGGCACTGAGCTTATAAACACTAACTCATTTAATCCTCATAACAACTCATAACAATAAGGGAAATATTGTTTTTAAATGCTTTAAAGAGGAGAAAACACATTTAAGGAGGTTTAATACTTGCCCAAAATTTTCTACCAACCCAAATCCTATGCTCTTTATTTATTTACTTTTTATTTTGGGGAAAGTTTACAGAGCAAATTCACTTTCCATACAACAGTTCACATACACTTTGTCTCATGTCATTGACCACAGTTTACCACAATGCAACAGCTCCCCTCCCACTTCCTCCCGATAGTTACCTCTTCCCTGTGTCCATCCCTCCATGCATTCCCACCCCCTGAGCTGTCTCCCTGGACATAAACAATCCTTCTTTCTCCCATGTTTGTTCCCTCCAAGGTCCACTCTGCTTTTGAAGTCCATTTTTTTTTTTAAATTGTATTTTGGGTACAAATTTACAAAGCAAATTTGTTTTATATTCAACAGTTCATGCACATTTGATTTCACGCCCCAATTACCATCCCCAACCATAAAAAACTCTTTGAAGTCCAAATTTAACAGGAAATCTTGATAGGAAAAATAATGAGTCCAAACATATTATTACAAAAGCTATCCTACCGAGAACATAGGTTTATTTATGAAATCCTGTAGTACTGGAATAATGGAACCAAAAAATTAAAGTACTAATGCTTGTAGCAAATAGTAAATCTATGAATGTCATTATTCAAACAATTAATGTAGGTGGAAGTTTTAAATACATATAAAGTAGACTTAGCAAAATTGATGACTGAGAAGTTCATAATTTAAAGGGAAGGTAGGATGTTTAGGCATGTCCCTAGGCTTTTAGAGTAACATAGAAAAAGACAGCATCTCCCAAAACATATCCGTTCACTACTACGTCCCATGAGTTTTAGCTATAAAAAAACCTAAAAACTCAACTGCAATTGAGTCATTTCTGACTCATAGCGACCCCTCCTTGGGTTTCCGAGGTGGTATCTGTACAGAAATAGATTGCCCAATCTTCTTTCCAAGGAGTGGCTGGTGGGTTTAAACTGCCAGTCTTCTGGTTAGCAGTTAAATGCCTTAGGTACTAAGCCACCAGAGCTATACCCACCCATTGCCATCGAGTTGTTTCTGACTCATAGAGACCCCTCCTTGGGTTTCCGAGGCAGTATCACTATTGAAGTAGATTGCCCAACCTTCCTTCCGAGGAATGGCTGGTGGGTTTGAACCGCCATCCTTCTGGTTAGCAGTCAAATGCCATAGGCACTATGCAACCAGAGGTCTTACTTAACAATTTCTTTGTTTTAAGGTATCTTAACTATTCACTGTAAATTATAGTGGGAAATGTCTAATTTTTTTCCAGTGGGTTTTATAAACATGTCTCTCATTTTAAAATATAACAGTAAATATGAAAATTACTCTTCTTTGAAAACTTGAGTGGAATTCGTGGTGTTCAAAGTTATTTTCAATAGCATTAAAAAAATGAAAAAAGACCAAATAACTTCAACTTATTTGTAAAAACCTTATTAACTGGGAAGAACATTATTATTCTGTGTTGGAATACATTTATTATTTTATTTTCCTTCATTTTTATTGTCAGAAATAGAAATTCAATATGGCTGTTTTAATTGAAAAGGAATTTGTTGAAAGGATATTGAATAGTTCACAGAATATTTTAAACGCTGGAGGAAATTCTAGAAAAAATTGTAGGATAAAGCAAGGGGTCCAACTTTGTAGCTAAAATTATACTGCAGAACTCTTTTGATAAAGATCATTTTTGCCACAACCAAACACCAGATGAAGGGCTCATACCTTTCATTCCACTGCTATCTACTTTGCCCACTGCTGACACTGGCTACTGGATGACCTCATTCTTAAAGCTGTCACTAGCTCCTTGAAGTTACTGCCACTGTTAATTCCAGAATGGATTGTCCACTGCCTGTCCTTTTTCACCGGCTTTCAAGTTAATACGTAGGCTCGGTGCAAGTTGACAAAGCCTTTTCCTGTGCCCCTCTCTTTGGGGCAGTGGGGTCTAGGAAACAAGAGTCTAGCTTTG